ATTGGGAGCTTGTTCTTTTCTTGATTGGAGTACTGCCAGGTTCAATGCGCCTTCTTTCTTCCAAGGAATGGGTGTACATTGCATGAATATGACTAGCAATGATAATCTAGAAAGAAACATCTGTTCAGAAACATTTCAAAGGAGAACATTAAATGGTCTATGGTCTGTGAGGTTTGTTTGTGATTATCTATTGTCAGGTTTGCTCATGTACCTATCAGCATGTACTTTTTTCTACATTGGAAAAGTCACTGACCAATTAAAGCATTTGGAATTTGGTTGCTCCTATTTGGCATTCCTTAAATCACTGTCATACTGACCCACATCCTAGGTGGATATTTGTGATAAATTCTAGAACATGCTGCAGTCTTATAAAAAGCAAAATGTTAAAAGAAAGCAGAGACTTTGTTTTTGCAAACAACTGTCTACTGATTCTCCAGCACACTGGCTGGGTTTACGAACCAGTTACAGGGGTAGATCCAGGGGAGCTGTGCAGGGAATGCGCACCCCCTCCCCTGCGATGACCTGCAGCTTTCTTATATAATAAGTATCGCAAAAACTTTGTTTATATCACCCTTTAGCTACATCATTCCTTAATGATGCTTCCCCCCCTCTAAAAAATCCTGGATCCTCCTCTGAGTTGCATGGTGAGAACATAAATCCACACCAAAAGCATGGTAAAACACAACTCCAGGTTTATAAAAATTGGATTACTTACAATAGTGTCTCTGTCTATAGTACCCATGCTCACTGCTTGCAATTACTTAGTAACTCAATTCCTGATACAGACCTGAAAATAGCTCTGACAAGAAGCAGCTGAGGGAAGATACCTCTTCATGTTCCAATTCATTTCCACATTAGGCTGAAAAAAAAGTTCAAAAACATAAGTAAATGAGCAATTCAGTCATTGTCAATTTACCACACATGAATTTTTCAAAATACCAAAATATGGCTCATATTTTGAATACCTGTTGTAGGTATAACTCACATGATGCTTTAATGAGTATTCTGTTCCAGAACATCGCTACTTTTTTTCTAGAATTTATTTTCAATTGGCAATTGGCTGAAATGGCCCTACATCATGGAGCACTTGGGGTAACCAAAAAATTATATGAACAGCACTTAGAAAGTTGCTGATAGTTAACTGATCTGTAGGGTGAAACAGTCTTAGAAAAATTCTTCTCTAAACTTTAAGGTTCAAAAATGCAACTCTGTATTGTTCTACTTCAGTCTTCAGGCAGTATTAGCTTAAAGAGAAGGCACTTTAAAACAGCTATTCTATCAAGGAAAAGAATTGAAAAGTGTAAGCATAAAATAATTGGTGATAATGCTTCAAATTGATTGGCCAATAATGCTATGGAACATTTTAAAGGAGGATACAGCAAAAAAATTAA